TGAAAATGTGGTTCATTTATACGATGGAGTTTTACTCAGCAGTAAAGAAAGATGAAATCATGAAATTTGCAGGTAAATGGAACTAGAAACTGTTGTACTAAGTGAAGCAACAGACTCAGAAAAAAAATCGACATATGTTTTGCCTCATATGTGGATCCTAGAACCAGACTCTGATAAGCAAGTATGCAACCAGACGTAACTACACGAATCAGGGTAATGGAAAGAAACAGGGAGGTAAAGGAAAAGAAATAACCTGAAAGAGAAGAACAGTAAGAAATAGGCCGTAATAAGGGAGATATGGATAAAAATTGGGTTAATCTAAGGGAGGGGGGAGGGGGGAGGGAAGGGTATACAAGGAACCTAGGGGATAAAGGGAAAGAAGGACCTTAAGAGAGGTAGGACGGTAGGAGAAGGGTATTATTAAGGGAGAAAGGGGGGAAATGGGGGCACCTTAAGTGGGAAAACAATGATGGAGGGGTGAGACAATGCGAGAGATAAATAATGCCTAGATAGTTTTGAAAACCAGAGGGAACCATATTACTCCTAAAACCTACTCACAAATTATACAAAGCAGATCAAGAAATATGTGTCTAGGTTTGGTTTATCTGAGAACAACTGGTCTTTGCTCAAGATTTATCTACATGACACACAGTATTTAAAAGTACCAGACTGGTGGAACTAACCTTCTTGGATGTTTAACAGACATACTTTGAGGCCTATAATAATTTGGTCAGAGGGACATAAAGGACACTTTTTGCTCCTTGCCCTCCTAGGTCGACTAGTTCCGGGGGACTATGAGCATCTCTCAAAATGTCCTGTATTTGTGCTGGGTCACCTGTCCTCTTGATCAAGGAGGCCGAGGAGATCTCACCAGATGGACTTGAGAGGACACTAATGAATCTCTCAGTTCTCAGTAATGAAGGTTCCTCATGCAGCAGAGAGCCAGGAACTCAAAAGGTCACATATAGCCTAAGTGTAGAGAATCAAGAGTCTGCTAAATGCTGGTCCTTGGACAGGTTCCCTTTATTAAACTTCTCCCACCCAAGGCTCAGGCACCGTCATGAAAAGGGGGCGGAAAGATTATAAGAACCAGGGAGGAAGTGCATGACCATAGGGAAACAGTCCTACAAGCTCCTGGGAACCAGCTCATATGATTCTATGGCAATGGTGTCAGCATACATAAGTCCCATGCAAACTCAGGCAGACAATAACTCAGCATAGAAGTGGGAAAATGAACAGCAGACCCGAATCTTATCTAAAGGAATATTGACAACTGATTGCTGCTAGATGAGGAACAGCTGACCTTCCTAAAACAAAGACCTCTAGATAGGCTGACTAGATTCACCAGAAGGGCAAGTAGTGGGGAATGGCTGGGGGTGCCGACAACACAGCAGACAGTAGCAGGGATATCAGAGTATAAGGGCTCTAGTCGGGGGAGGGAGGCTATGGGAGGATGCCATCTGGGAAGTGGGTGTATAGCTGAATAAGATGATTTGGGATATTCTGTGTGATATACACACACAGAGAAAAAAAATCAACAAATTTTAAAAATGTATTATATTTGAAGAGAAGTGTAAAAGTTTCCATCATGTTAATTAATAGACATACACAGGTGCCAAGGATCCGAGTGCAAACGATTATGACTAGTAATAATCAGATAAATACAGATTAGAGATGCATGTGCCAACATCTCAGTGTTAGTACTAAAAACGAGTCTTTCTGCAAGGAACAATATATTCTAACATGAAATGGAGATCTTTTTAAAAGGTTAAAAACTCATTCAATTTTATGTCTTACAGGGCTTATACTGAGTTCAATATTGTGTAACTGTATTAATTAAATTGTGAACCTAGAAACTTGCACCCACTTGTGAAAGAGATGTACTCTTGCTCTGGAGTGTGTTACTGAATATGTTAAAGCTGTATTGAAATGCTTCTTCTTATCATGTAGTTATTAAAAATTTAAAAAAAATGATTAAATGAAAAAACTTCTACTTTTGTAATAAAGTTCACAATTATAGTTTTTCAAATAAAAGTATCTTTGCTCATCTGTTATTTCTCAATAAATATTGTTCTTAGTATGTTTGTTGTGACAGCACAATAGTCCAATAAAGAATTACTTCTATTATTTATTTTGAATAATTTTTCTCACATTAAGCTAGCTTACCACTGATCTATAGAAATACTAAATATCAACATTAACTTCCCTACTTTTGATTCTTTCTTCCTTATTTTCCAGGAAAAACAACAGCTCTCTGGTTTTGAGAGTTGTAGTGGACATGACATATAATCTTTTAAAAATTAAATCCCAAAGGCAGGTTATTTTAAATTTATTTATTAATTTTTTGTCTTTTTGAGAAAGGGTCTCCCAGTAGCCTCAGTTGGCCTGGACCCAGGATGGAGACAAGGCTGAGCTCACAGAGACCTGCCACTTCTGCCTCCCAAGTGCTGGGATCAAAGGTGTGAAACACCACTCCTGGACCAAAGGCAGGGAAGCAGGGATGAAAATTGTTAGAAGTTAAGCAGTTTGGGCTTAGAATTCTTTTTATAAAGCATTACACATAGGCAATAGCAATACAATACACATAACAAAATGAAACCAAGGGAAAGCATCAAATTTTGGAGACCATGTTGCCTCTCCCCATATGCCCACTCTTGTCTATATGGGTGAAAGAAAGTGGGTTTTACCCAGAGGAGTAACAAGTTTTTATTCTTTCTAGTTCAGGGCAGAGAGTTTGAGTGGTGGCCTCCTGAGAGGAGACAGACACATTCTCATTCCCTTGGCACTACTGGCCTTGTACACTGGAAGGGGACAATGGCCAGACCAAAGTAAGATATGCTGCTGGCAGCTGAGATCAGCACAGAAGGCATGTCAGGATTCTCTGACTATAAGCATTCTGTGGGCTTATAATGATTCACGAATTCCTTCTCTCTAATTAGACCACCTACCTTAAAAGTGTTAATAATTAGTCTCATAAAAAGCTACTTGTGCAGCAAAACAAAAATATCTAAAGCAGAACAATGAGTTTAGAAAACCATATTCTCCCAAAAGAGCAGCTGCAAGTGAAGAGTGACAAACCCAAAAAGCTCTATGCATCACACTGAACTAATGAGCCAGAAAAACACCTGATTCCCAGAAATCAACAAAGAGGAAAAAAATTATTAAATTATGGCAAAAGTTTGCTATTTAAAAAAAAATTATTTATTTTTATTATATGTGTATTGAGTATATTGCCTGCATGTGTGTAAGTGCACCCCATTGTGCAGTGCTAGCAGAGGTCAGAAGAGGGCATAGGATCCCTTGGAACTGGAGTTATGAATGGCTGTTAGCTACCATGTGGGTGCTGGGAATCAAACTCAGGTCCTCTAAGAGCAGCTAGTGCTCTTAACCACTGAGCCATCTATCTCTCCAGCCCCAGTTTGCTGTTGTTTTGAAAACATTTATAGATTACTATATACAAATTGTTTGATAATACTGCCAAGTATAAAACTTAGCATCTTAACATCATATTTGATTAAAGAGTTCAACTAACTGCACTTAATGAACTCACAAAAGTCTAAGCAAAATCAGGCATGGTGGGACATACCTGTAATCCCAGTACTTGGGAGGCTGAATTAGGAGGATCACAAATTCATAGCTAACTCTGCTTAGTTTATACAGCAAAGCCCTGACTCAAAACCTTTTTAAAAAATGAAAAATCTGCCCATAGTAATTTCCCTAATCACATTAGCAGCATATCTAAAACAGGTAGTCTGTTACTTAAGAATTAGAAGCAGAATAATCTGTATACGACCTGTACAATTCTTAATTATGTGGAGTTGATGTTTCCTTTCAAAAGCTCTACTTAACAGCATCTGTTAAAGATCTTAAAAAGCGGGAACAAGCCCCAAATAAATGAATTCTACAATGTATTCTGCCCTATGTTAACAGCATGAACATTAAATAATTTAAAAATTAAAAGCATGGCCGGGCGTGGTGGTACATGCCTTTAATCCCAGCACTCGGGAGGCAGAGGCAGGAGGATCTCTGTGAGTTCAAGGCCAGCCTGGTCTACATAGTGAGTTCCAGGACAGCTGGGGCTACAGGGAGACCCTGTCTCAAAAAATCCCCCCCCCCAAATAAATAAATAATAAATAAATAAATAAAAGCAGAAGAGCTAATAGAGAGTACTTCTCTTGACAAAACCTTTCATTATGACTTGGGATTTTATTCTTAGATTATTTGTACAAATTAAGTAAAAGCTAAATTTTGTTATCAACCTGCAATGCTGATTGGAAACAAAGACTGATGACCCACCTGGCTATCTCCTCTCGATGGGCGGTCCAATCTCGGATATAGTCTTCCTGTTCTTTAATCCGGTGCTTGAAGGAAGAACTAGCAGGCATTGCTGATCCAGTGCTCTGCATGCGAGTGGTTTTCAGGGCTGGAGAAGTACGTAGACGGGTATGTTTAGGGGAATTACGGTTTGATCCAAATTCATCTTCTGAGGTGGAAGCATAATCAGTAGGAAAGCGCCTCCATCTTGAATTTACTAAATTAGTTTAATTATTAAAAAAAGAATTATTATGTTATCATTTAAAAAAGATAAAATAAAAATCATGACTTCAAAAACACCATGAGAGCGCACACACAGCACAATTTTCAATAACTGACACGCATTCCTCACGAAACCCGTAAGTCTACTACTCCTTAAAGATAGAAACATTATACTTTGGTGAGTTAAAAACAATGAGCAATTAAAAAAAATTGAGAGATCATGTTGCTCTATAGTGAATAAACATTCAGATGAACACTTTACTAATGAAAAACTAAGCAAGCTTCATTCATTAATGTGTAACGTGGGTGTTTTTCAATTGCAAATACTTCTCATTTGAGTAAAGATATGGATGCTTTTTAGATGACAGCAACAACACCAACAATGACAAAAATAAAAAGGGAAAAGATTTCCTCATGCCACATGGACTTTCAACATGGAGATGACAGAAACACTCTTTTCCCAACATACAAATGTGCATAATTCCTACTGTGGAAATTATGTCTTTATGGCAGAAAAAAAAGTTACCTCTGTCATTCAACATCCTGTTATGCTATGGTTGGAAAAAATCTTTTTACATGGTAAAAAACACAACAAAGCATCTTCAATACAATTCTTTGCTGCTTTAACACTGAAAACATATGGTCAAAATAGACAATGGCATAAAATCTACAAAGCGCAGAACTACAAAAGCTATTCTCACAACCACTGACATTTAAGGCACAGGAGATACCAAGGATAGTCACATTCAGAAAGTGGCAATCACTTTCTTACTTACAGTTAGTAAAGACATTTAAATATGTTATTGCTGACACATTTGAAAAATCAGAAGACAAATTAATGCAGACATTTTACTAATGCTAATAGGAGAATCAAACATACAAGTCATTTGTGAAGCATAAACAGGTCTAGAAGAACAGATTATCTAATTCATGGTGAACTTCACAAGGGTAAGGAAATATTTAATAACTAATGTATACCTAGCACTTAGGTCAAGTGTCTAGATGGCAAGTGTTTAAAGAGTATTTTTGAATAATGAATGGGTTCCTGGATATAAATCATTTGCATTTCTAACCCAGAAACATGAGATGCTTTTGGTACTTAAAGTGCCAAAACAATGTAGCGTCTGCTGTAAGTTCCAAGTGCCACCAACACCAGAAGAGTTTTCTTTCTCCTTGTCTTTCTCCATTTGTCAGTCTCTCTTTACTTTTGAACTCAACCTAAGTTGTTTAGTAGACAAGTGAAGGCCAGAATTTCCTCATCCTTCACCAGAATATGTACTTTCCTGACTTTTCCTCTGAAAATAGTATTTTTCCTTGGAGTTAAGGTGTGTTGGTTCTTATATAAAACAGACATACACTGCCACCAGAGTTCACTTAGAACAAAAAGATCTTACAGGAAGTAATATGTAATAAATCAGAGCCTACTTATTTGTACTGATTTATACTGTTTGCAACTCCTGGGGTTAGTTAGGGTCTAGATTCATTGGAACAGAAAGATAAAGGCAGAAAGTGCATGGGTCTCCATAAAAGTATATATATACATGCACTGTATTTTTCTCAAGGGGAATTGTGACTGTTAATATTTCATTTTAACGTGATTTAGAATCACCATGGAAACGGAACTCTGGTTGTAGTTATGACTATGTTTCCAGAAAGGTTTAACTGAGCAGGAAGGACCCACTCTGAATGTGGTGGCATCATTCATGGGCTGGGGGTCCCAGATGGAACAAAAAGGGAAGTGACTGGAACACCAACGTTCATCTCTCTGCTCCCTGACAGCAGATATGCTATGACCTGTGCTGCCATGAATTCTCCACCATGATGGGCTGCAGTCTCAAAACACCTGCCCAAATCAACCCTTCCTTCCTACAGTTACTTTGTTTGGTATTTTGCCACAGCAGTGAGAAAAGTAACTAATATAGAGGACTTCAGTAGAATTTCTGGGTTGGACATTAAAGTTAATTTATTAACACGGACAATACCTTTATCCTATGGTAAATATATAATCATTCCTAGAAATGATTATATCATAAAATGAAGTTAATTTGAAATTCGAAAATAAGTTTATAGAATTTTTGTTTGTTTGTTTGTTTTGAGACAAGGTCTCTCTGTAGCCCCAGCTGGCCTGAAACTCACTATGTAGACCAGGCTGGCCTTGAATTCAGAGATCTGCCTGACTCTGCTGGGATGAAAGGCATGCACCACCACCACGCCTGTCTTAGTTTATACAAAATATGTAAATAACAAAGAGGTTTAGAAAAAGTTAAAAATATGGCAAACAAAATATGGGCAAATAGTACATTAAAATGTTTTAAACTTTCTTCAAACCTTTCTATTTCATGGAATTTTAGAACTGAGTAACCCTAGATGGTCTTTTTCAACTTATAAAGAAAAACTATGCTCAGAAGGACTAAGGCCATCAACTACCTCATTCCTTCATATTCCAAATATTTTACTAGTATGAAAAGTATTTCCATCTCTAACAAAGCTAATTAAACAAATAACAAACCCCAAGACATCTTCAACTTCTAATGGAATTATCAGTTTTCTGATTTTTACCTAGGTAGACTGAAGAAAAAATTTTTTCTTTTTATTGAAATTTCTGTATAATTAACAATTTACAGAACATAGAAATATTTTTTAAAACTACTTTATTATTTTAATTTTATGTGTATGAGTGTTATGCCTGCGTGTAGGGAAGTGCACTTGTGTTGTGCAATACCCTCGGAGGAGAGAAGAGGCTGTCAGATTCCCCTGGAACTGGAGTTACGGACAGTTGTTAGCTGCCATGTGGGTGCTGGGATTCAAACCCAGGTCTTTTGCAAGAACAATCAGTGTTCTTAACTGCTGAGCCATCTTTCCAACCCCATAATATAGAAAAAAAATTTTTTAATTTATTATTTTTATTTCATGTGTATGAATGTACTGCCTGTATGTATGTAAGTCTACCTGTGTTATACAGTGCCTGTGGCGGTCAGAAGAAGGTGTTGAATTCCCTTGGAAATGGAGTTATGGATGGTTGTTAGCCACCATGTGGGTGCTGGGAATTGACCGTAAGTCCTTTGCAAGAGCAACCGTTGCTCTTAACCACTGTGCCAACTCTCCAGCCCATAGAAATACATTTAATTCTATATTAGTCTTAATCTGACAGATTGATCTTACTAAGGCACTTAACATTAAATTGAAAATCTGTACCGAGATTGTTTGAAATATCACAAAAAATGTCTGAAATATCAATTTCCAGTTTATTGGTTGGTGAAGGACTAGTGAGCACATAAATTCAAATGAGAAAGTTCTAAGATTACCTTAATCTTTTAAGCCATATGAAACTTACAGCATTATAAAAATTATTTTATTTTTAGCTATAAAGTGTGCAACACACCCTTCTTGATGAAACTGTAAGCTATGTTTTCTAAGCTATGTTCTACAAAGTAGCATACTATTATTCATGATGTCTGGAATCAAAGTGTTAAGAACCCATAGCTAAGAATGCTCTTTTTTTTAGTGTAACTAAAACTTTGTTGATTCTAAAACACATTACAACTACAGATTTAGGAAAACAGACTTGAGAAAATATACCCTGTGTTTCCATTATCTATTAGAGTATTTTAGTGGGAAATTGAAGCACAAACAAGTTTTGTGTGTTTAATTACAATCATATAGCCATGAGATCATTTGGGGAGGGGAAAAAAAAATCCCTGATATTGCTCTGTTGTTTTGGCGTCTCACTTTGAAAATGTCACCAGTTGTGGTGGCACATGCCAAAACTTTTAGTCCCAGCACTTGGGAGGCAGAGGCAGGCGGATCTCTGTGAGTTCGAGGCCAGCCTGGACTACAAAGTGAGTTCCAGGCCAGCTTGGGCTACAAGGAAACCCTGTTTCAAAAAGACCAAAAAAAGAAAAAAAAAGAAAAAAGAATCAACTCAAGCTATGCATACCTATCATTTAATTTCTACAATTTTTTGAGATTTAGAATAAAAAAGGTAAAGGAAACATTCTTAGAAAAATTCCAAGAATAGAAACACAACATTTTCTAAAATGTGCACCTAAAACAATAAAAATCAATTACTTTATTATTAGTAATAGTCGTATAAGTTTTTGAGACAGAGGGTTGCTATGTAGCCCAGACTGGCCTGGAACTTACTGTAATCCTCTTGCCTTAGCATCACAAGGGCTGAGATTATGGGCATGCACCACTGCAACTAGCCAACTGCTTTATTTCGATAAGTTAGGGTCCTTAATTTTAAACATCAAAATCTCACTCAGAATAAATCTAGGTATTTCCACTTTAACTTGATATTGAAAATAAATCAAAATATAGGGGAATGGCAAATCATTAAACTCTTGAAAACAAATTATACCAAGGACGTATAAAAGAACTGTTATCAATATTGCAAGACATTTCCAACCATTGGTGCTTACCATATAATTTTTTAAAAACTTGTTAAAGACATAGTCCAAAATATGGAGTCAAAATACTACATAACAATTTTTACATATGTCAATATGGACACTATCACAGGGATTAGATAACTCCAAGGTCTTTAAAGTTTACATAGAGGATAGGAGTATTGACCGGAATGATTTCACATTCTTTTAAGTCATTATTTCATTTCATTTTCCATTCAATATAATAAAATTATCTTAAATAGAAATGTCATAGCACCAAACCTAGGGCAGGTTATTTCATCTCCTGGCTTCATAGTTCCCTAAAGTAAATATCCCCTTCCAGATCTTAAATCCCATGATTACAGTTATATCATATACTGTTAATAAGTATAAAGAATGATTATAGCATTTATCTAAATTTTCTCTCAGGAATTATATTGAGGAATGCAAGGATTTTTAAAAAATTGTTTTAGATACAGAGAACTGAATATCAAGTTCAATACTGAAAGTATAAAAACTGTATTAGATTGTCTATGTATAATAAGGTATTTTATAGTTGTTTTTCAGCCTTGCTAATGTCACATTTAGCCCACCTCTTAAAATAAGCCCCTCATGATGAAGAATAAGGAATAAAACCAGATTACTTATGTGGTAAGAGCTAGTCAATCAGTAGAGAAGGAAAAGTTTCTTCATGCTATTTATATTACAGTTCATGTTAAGATGAAGAAACAACTATCTTAATGTACCTAAATGGTGGTGAGGTGATAAGCAGTGTAGGGAAGAAGTCTTATCAGGATACACACCACAGAATGCAGCACAAAAGGAATGTGAATTAAAGAGGTAGAGCCATAAGAAACAAAGAACAATACTAAAACTGTAGTTACTTTTTAAGTATCTGGTAATAAATTCATTAAGAAGCAACCAAAGAGTGACATGTGAAAACAAAGACCAGAATCATAAAGAAAATGTCATTTATCTTTCAGGAACCATGACTGTATGTTCTCCAGTTTCAATCTCTATCCAGTCCTAACACAGGCTATAACTGTCATTACCAAGTCCCCCAACTAGCAGAGATGGAAAGAAAATGAGTGTATGAAAGCAGCAGTGAAAAGGAGGGATAGAAAGCGAAACACAGTAAAAGTTACAAAGCACCACTGGCTTTGACTCTTGGAGGATATATGGTAGGTAAACCAAGCAAAAATAAAAGGAATATTATACACCAATTTTTCCCTCCACTCTTAAGATGTAGTGCTCACTTAGACTTGCTTGTAAAGAATCATAAACCTTCAAGTCCTCTAAGAACTGATCTCTCCCACTGGTCTTTTCAGCCACGCCCAAACATGGGAGTGATTATGAGGTAACAAGACCGTGCTTTCAGGATACACGTAAAGAGCTACTTCACTGCTGGAGTCACACACCTTATTCTTGGTGGTTTCAGTTTTGAATATGAAGCACAAATGTGCACTAGCACGTCAATGCTGTGGGACAGTAAGTAGCTTCTGTAGTCACATTCAGCTAGCTAATTACTACAGTTAAGTGTTATAACAGTATTTTATGAGACAATGCTCACAATTAATCTTCTTCCACTGAAATAAATGAAGTTATTTTTCACCTATTCCAACCTCAAATGTATATGAAACATTAAAAAATCAATTATTTCCTTTATCTCCAAAAAGACTTAAAAGGTATACTGCTTCTTAAATATCTGATTTTAGAAGTGTAATATGATTTAAGAGTCATTCCTAATGTTATTTTGACACACATTCGATGTTATCAAATGAAAAATTTAATCAGTTCAATGAATTTATTTTGAAACTGATATCTTGCCTCAAGACTTTAAATGGAAGTATATTATGAATTTTCCATTTGAATGGGGGGTTGGAAATCAACCCTCTAAATTTTAACTTTTTTCTTAAATTATACTGGGAAAAGAAGTAGAAATTTAACTCTTAAATAAAAAGCCCCTGGACAGAACATGCTAATGGTATTAGAAGTCTGGATCCAATTTACCTGAAGGAGAACCATGAGTCGAGGTCATACTTTTGACCTTGGAGTCTGATAGTCGAGAGATACTGTTAGCTCTAGTTCTAGGAGAAAATTTATCTGATGGCATTAGCCTGGCTCCACTTCTAATGATGGCTTCTGCGGTGCGGGAAGAGGCACTACTTCTAGATATTGTTGCTTCAGAGTCACTACGGGCGGATAATGAACCAAGTCTTGTTCTTCGAGGCTGAGCCAATAAATCAATCCTAGAGATGTTCCGCCTTCCTGTGGGTGGCTTTGATGTGGAACTTGTGGTGGACACTTCCGAAGCAACAGATGCTTTATCAGCATCAGCAAGTTCACTGTCAGAAGCTTCACCTAGTCTAGCTCTACGCAGCAGGGAAGTCCTGGTGGGACGTGGCCTGGGGAGAGTGGTTGATTTACTGGATGAACCAGAGGCAACAGGAGAAGTCTTTGATTTTGTTCCTTTGCCTCCTTCCAGTTTGGAATGTATATGCTCATCAGTTGAGGTAAGTGGAGTCCTTCCATGAGATTTGCAAGAGTATGTTTCCTGGTCAGACGACATAATATCAGAGATGGCAGAATGAGGTACACTAGAGGTCTGGTCATCATCTGTTAAATCTACCGAAGGCTGTCTGATTCTTCCACTGGACTGGACAAATTTTCGACCATCTGCTCTTGCACCTACATCTGTGGAACGACTTTTTGTTTTCTTTTCAATTTTCTCCCTAGCACCTGATTTTGTAACATCTTTGGAGGGAGAACTGGTGGAACACCGATCTTTATAAAGACTAGTGAAACTCTTTCGCTTTTGTGTAGACTTTCTTTCAGTCTCTCCAGTAACCAGACTAATTGTACTAGCTGTATCCACATCAGATTCTGGTGAGATAGAATTATCTCTATTATAACTGGGAGTATCTGGGCCTTCATCAGTTCTATTATTATCTTCACGCAGTTTAGCTTCTAGAAAAGCCATTACTGCTTCCGTGTCTTTTAGAATCAAGGTTGTGTCCATGCTTGAATCAGTATCCAAAGAGTCACTTCTTTCTCGTAGTCTACTTGCAGATGCTAATGCTAAGGAAGTAGGTGTTGATGAATTCTGCTTATTTATGTGGGGGATGAGTTCTATGGGTATGTTAGAACTGGGTTTTTCTATAGTGAAGCTCCCTTGTCGTACTAATGACTTGGAAGATTCTCTCTTGTCTCCTTTTGAAGTCTGACTTTTCAGAATCTCCTCAGCTTTTCTTCTCTTGCTCTCACTTTGTATTACTCGCTCTCCTTTGCTTGTTGAAGGTCCTGACATTTTTTCTACAAGCTGGGACTCTTGCTTAGAAGACTCCTCCCTACACTTATCGATGTGGCCTGTAGAAATTTTTGAAGACAATTTTGTAGGTGTCCACTGGGCCTGCTCCTTTTGTTCTTGTTGCTGTTGGATTTTAGCTAATGTCTGTTTCACCAAAGATGTTTCTTTATCATTTTCATTCTTCTCCTTGCCAGAAGAGCTGCCTGCGTGAAGGAGGGCTTTACCATCTCCACTTGTGGCAATCTCACCATTCACCACCCTGCTCACTTTACCTGGGCCTCTGTCCACCTCTTGTTTCTCTCTTGGGTACACGGGGGTGGGTGTTTCTTTTTCCTGCAGTTCTGTGTCTTGCTTTTCCCCTATCTCTGACCTCTGCGTTGCCACCTTTGCTCTGGAGTTCTCAACGGCCTTTTCTTCATTTGGAAGCTGGGGGAGAGTTCGTCTCCTTCTTTCTCCTTGACTAACCAAGGATGTTGCCGAGCCAGTAATTCTCAGTGAAATGCCAGCTTCACCAATATCTGCCTCTATAGGACAAAACACCAAAGCAAAAATTCATTAGGGCAAGAAGACATAAATAAAAGGAGTTATCATTATACTTTGAGGTACAAGTTAACACACACACACACACACACACACACACACACACACACACAGTATAAAATGAATGCCATCACTGTGAGAAATCTGGACTTTCTAAATAAAATGAAAAAGGCAAAAATCTTAGCAAGGCATTAAAAACAAATACCCTGAAGCTGTTAAAAAAAAAAAAAAGTGAAAACGGTGAAAAGTGATAGAATATGTCATAGTTAGAAATCAAGGGACTTTTAAAATCATAACTTTCTGGTATATTAAGGCAACTTATAAAAATAAATGAATACTCTTTTTTTCAATTAAGCAGATTCCAATGCAAAAGTATATATTTTGATGCCACAAGGCAGTGACAAGGTGAATTTGGTCACACTAAAAAAAATTGTGAGTGTGAGGAACATAAGAGAGTCTTTAATACAGTATTTTGTATTTAAGTCGGTTGTGATGGCACAAGCCTTTAACCCCAGCACTTGGTAGGCAGAGACAGGCAGATCTCTATGAGATAGAGGACATTCTGGTCTACATGAGTTCCAGGCCAGACGGGGCTACAGGGAGACCCTGTCTCAAAGAAACCAATATAAATATAAATATTTATACATACACATATATATGTATGTATACATATTTAAAATGCTTTAAGTATGAAGTGATAATTTAGAATTCTATATAGTTATGAGGTACAAAGTGACATTATTATGAACCCAATTTAGAATAATTAAATCAGTACTAAAAAATCATGTATATATACATATATATGGTTCACATACAAATTATCACTATCTTCAGTTTATGATTATACTTTAATGGTATCTTCATGTTTTCCTAATATATTGGCCTATCAAGATCGATACGTAGTTTTATTTTCCACTTAAAAGTAAAAAATATTAAGTTTTAAAATCATACATGAATAGCAAAGTTAGCAATAAAAAAGTATAGTGCCAGGCTGGGCATGGTGGTGCAGGCCTTAATTCCAAAACTCAGGGGGCAGGAAGCAGAGGCAAGTAGATCTCTGAGTTCAAGGCTTGGCTGGTCTACCTATCAAGTTCCAGGCTCAGACAAAGTGACATAATGAGCCTCTGTCTCAAAAAAAGAAAGAAATAAAAGAAAAAAAGAAAGAAAAACAGTGCCTGAACATGAATTATTACACATTTGAAGGCATACTCTGTCTTTAGAAGTTTTAAATTATGATGGACACAAGAGTTTTTAAGGGAAAATAAACATTTTGGGGGCTAGATTATTCTTCAACACTGCAGAAAAAAAGACTTCATTATTTAGAAAATTTCTACTGCTTAAAATCTTTTGAAATACAAAATGCGTTTTTAAAAAAATCCAATATTGCAGCGAGGTGTGGTGGCCCACACCTTTAATCTCAGCGCTCGGGAGGCAGAGGCAGGCGGATCTCTGTGAGTTCAAGGCCACCTGGTCTATATAGTAAGTTCCAGGACAGCTGGAGCTACAGGGAGATCCTGCTTCAAAAAGACAAAAAAAAAATTCCAATATTGCTCATATGAACCTACAGCAATGCTGTCAGCACGCATAAGACCCATGCAAACTCAAGCAGAGAAAAACCCAGCAGAGAACTGTGGAAACAGGCAGCAGGCCCCAATTTTAGATGAAGAACTATTGGTAACTGATTACTGTTGGGAGAGGAAGAGCTGTTCTTCTAGAGAGTGACTGTAGATAGGCTGACTAGACCCCAGTGGATGAACTTTCACTGAGGGACGTCTGGGGACATTAACTTGACTTGCTAAGTCTTAACGCAAATGACAGAATGCATGAAATCCAGTTGGCGGGGAGCGGTTATTGGAGGGTACTGATGGGGAAGGGGATATAAAGAGGACTAAGATGTTCTGTATGAAATACACAAAAATTCAATTAAAAAATTTACAAAAAACCCATCAGAAGTATTAATATAGTAGAATTAAATATATACTTTGACTGTTTTTATTATAAACACATTGTAAATTAACTGAAAAAAATAGGAACCTATTTGAAACTAAAACATTCAGCTCTCATCTTACTAGCAAATATGAATACAGCTACTCCAGAATACTCCCTTTATAAATTTTAATAGTGATGACCAATTCTGCACTCATAATGCATTATTATAGCATTATAATTTAGAATTTTTTTTTGGTGGGGGTGTCTTTTTGAGACAGGGTCTCCCTGTAGCCCCAGCTGGCTTGAAACTCACTATGTAGGCCAGGCTGGCCTTAAACTCACAGAGATAGCCTGCCTCTGCCTCCCAACTGCTGGGACTAAAGGCATGTGCCACCATACCCAGCATATAATTTAGAATCTTATTATAACACTGGGCAATGAATACACTGGGTATATTTATACAATTTATTCATAAATTATATACTCAGCTGTTTCAGACAGTAACTGTGAACAGTAAAGATTGCATTCTGTAAATGTTCCATAGTTTACTGAAAATACACTCTTATTTTTCATTATTACATATAATATTTTTATAAATGCTTCCTGGAAAGAAAAAAGATCCAATATTTTACTTATAAAAAATTTAACACATAGTTCAAGCATAAAAATATGTGAACAAGTATATTTAGGCTTAATTTTCCTCTCACTATATGTTTAGCTTGATTTTTAAAAAAAAACCCAAAATTGTTCTCCGACCACTATTCTGAGAAGCGACAGTCACACCTCCTTCCCATGCATATCGAGGAGTTGAGGATGGAGGCAGGCAGTTACCCCTCCCACCTGAATCAGTCCACCTTAGCTGCATGTGGGGGGAGGGGCAAAGGATATATAAGGCAAGAACACCTAGAGGCACTTCTCTCACCATATTGTGGGGCTGCTGGGAGGTCACAGGATCTGTATTTGAGTGTGGACTTTATGGTGCAGTGGTAAATGTGGGGAGCCCACTCTTTTGTAAATAAACCCCTACCCTATGATTTGTTAAAATACTACTACTACTACTACTACTACTACTACTACTACTACTACTACTTTTAATCAAAATACTTAGAAAGAATTAGAAAGAAATTACCATTTTCTATAGTTGCAGACAATTCCATTAGCCTTTCTTCTTGATCATGCCTTGTATGATTAGCAGCCAGACTAGCCCATTGTGAAACCCAACGTTTGCTTCCAGATGATGTCCCTTCCTAAAGGAGGGAAACAGAATGAAAGAATTTGTTGATCTTGATGCTCATGAAAGAGAACTTCATTTTAGTCACATTAATATGTCTACAAAGCTAAATCTGGCTGGGCAATGCCATGCATGCCTTTAATCCCAGCACTTGGGAGGCAGAGGCAGGTGGAGTTTAAGGCCAGCCTGGTCTACATAATGATTTCCAGGCCAGCTAGGGCTAAGGGAGACCCTGTCTCAAAAAGATTAAAAAAAAGAAAAAAAAAAAAGCTACACCTGAATCTCATCTTGTTATGTGTCAATTTCTTCCTATCTGAAATAAAGATTCTTTAGCTATCTCGTTTAACTATACTTTATTATCATTCTGAATGTAGTATAATTTCCTGTAATTTTAAATACTAACAGGAGCAGGATGTACTCTAGAAGCTTAGAATTTACCTGGGCACCAGATGAGTGTAGATACTATCACAGCTTGTTGCAAAACCAGTAGAGTTCGTTTTACTACATTACAAGGAACAGAGAGTCTAAGGGCTATTACCAAGTTATCCTCTAGTTGTCTTGCTCTAGAAAATCAGACTGGTTTTCAGCATCTCAGGAAGCACCAAATCTGCTAGCTCACATCTGAATAGATTTCAAAAGTCCAAAAGCCCTAGACTTCTCTCTACAATACTTTAACACTTCTAAAAGGAGTCAAAGATAACTCATTCTCTATCAATTTCTCTACACTCAGTTTGAACCCAGATCCATCTATGTTTAGATCTGTCCTTAAAGCAAATATTTTTTGAACCCTTATAGTGAAGTGGTATAATGGCACTGAATTCATTATATGACTCCGTGAATTCATGGACTTACCCTGGTATTTCTTAACACTAGGGCAATCTAGTCATTCAATTTCGTAGATTAAAGAGTGCATAGAAAAAAGAAAATCATTATAAAAATGATACCTTTCAAGCTGGGCCTGGTGGCATAAGCCTGTAATTAGAGTTGAGGCCAGGCTGGGCAACCTACTGAAGTAAAAAAAAAAAGGGGGGGGGGACTGGGGATATATAGTTCAGTGGTAAAGCATTTGCCTAGCATGCATGAAGCCCTGGGTTCAATTCTTTGTACAATAAAAAATAAATAAATCAATAAGACACCTCTCATTAAAAGCCTAAGTATTCACATAGAAACTAGAATGCCAATTAGGAAATAGAAACTATGACAAAGTTTATTTTGAGCTATTTAAAACATATCTTATTCAAAACAGCAAATTTACTTTATTAATTAATGATGGACAGGCTAAGTTGAGACACTGATGAAGTAATGATTTCACATACATAATATACTATATGGTTCCAAGAATAGGTTAAGATAGTTAAATACAGAGAATTACATATTCAGAGAAACTTAAAGGATACTAAACTCAGTTGACTCCCTGGAACTTAAAGGATACCAAATTTAGTTGATTCCCTGAACTCCCTTCCAGGGTTTTGTAGTACCTGCCACATGTGTGAAAGGCAGTGTAAGACCACTGCACTATCCACAGCAGGGTGGTTTGGCTACTGTGCCATTCTTTGCCTGACAGGCTCTAATGGCCTGTCAGGTGGCTGCGCAAAGGCAGGAACATGTTGGAGCTGTATGAATTTTACGTGGCATGGATTGAGGAATAGAGGAGGGAATCTAAAATCCTTCCCTGGCTTTATCAAAATATAAACACCATACCATATATAACTATTAATATCAGCTGCTTTCAGTCACTAAATTAAACAGCTTGTAAAAGAGAAACGAGAATAAAAATTTGCCAAATCAAAGGGGAATAAAGAACACTAAAAAATTGTAATTACTTTAATTTGCAGGAAACGGCAAACCAAAGAGATAATTTTAACACTAATCAATGAACATTCAGGTCTATTAATTTGTCTGTAAAGACATTTTATATTTGCATGATATAAATAACATGAAGTACAAATACAATATTATATTCCTCGATTTTCTTTTATTTATATTTTATCTTTATTTACCATTCATTTATTATAATTAATTAACTCTTTTCCTGAGAGGTAGCATAGCATAACGAGTAAGAGAAGTAACCAAAAAATCGAGATCAGGCTGGGGAGATGGCTCAGTGTGTTAAGACGACTTGCTGACCAAGCATGAGGACCTGAACTGGAATTCCTAGCAGCCACATGAAAAGCTGAGCATGGCTGTGTGCTTCTGACATCACCAGTGGGGGTGGAGATAAGCAGATGCCAGGAGCTTACTGTTCAGCCAGACTAACTGAAGTAGCCAGCCTTGGTACAATGAAAGACCCTGTCTTAAAGGAATAAGGAGAGAGCGATAGAGGAGACATTCAATGTGCTCCTCTGGCCCCCACATATGTGCTCAATACCCCCCCATATCCATATACTGCCCCCTCAATAAAAAGAAAAAAGAAATCAAGGTCACTTAAGGTTCAAATTCTGGTTCCATAAACTACTAGATGTGAGACCTTGGCCAAGTTAATTTCTATGTACTTCAGTTTCCTTGTTTGTAACATGGCTTACTTGAAGGCTTCTACTGAAAGTTACTGCCTATTTTCTAAATAACACTTCTGACTTACATAAATATTTTACATTTTATTTTGATACATCAAATATAGTGGAATTTTGATGCCATAGCTATGTCAATCAATCACCCTAAGCAATTACATTATTCTAATTACATGCTGGCATGTACTACATTGGCATTTACTGCAGTATCTATGAGGCAGCACTGTCCACATGTCTCTTGTCATGACATGTCTTCTAATTCCAAACACATAGGTCGTTGACAGTAAAAACAATGTATATTTCCTGTTTTGTCACATGCTACTCACTTAACAACAATGAGCACATAGCTCATTACTTGCTTACTGAAATGTAATTATTTTCCTCACTACTTGACACTAAAACGAAAAAAACGAAGTCCAAACTGCTTCAGGTTTTCGTTAATTTCTAAAAGCACTTCACAAGGAATCTATATCAATCATGTAAAGTAAATTCCAATGGTGCAAACTTACATTTTATGCATATAAAAAGAAATGCATACCTCTGCGTTATGAAAGCCAGGTGTGCTCAATGGCTTTCTTTCTTCCATTACTACTGCAGCAGAACTGAGAGCCCAATCTTTTATCAGGTCTTTATGCTTTTCTTTAATAACAGGCCTATTATAATCCTGATTGTCATCTATGCCAAACACCTACGAGGAAAAATTTGTTTTATAATGAAATGAAAAGTCTGAGTACCAGATTAATATGTGATGTCATCAGTAGCATGAGAAGCAAATAAAAATATCCTATGTTAACTTTACCCAAATTTCAGGGAAGCTAAAGGTAGTCTCATGACAGGGCAGCTAGAGCAATACTGGAGAGGAAACCAGGCAGTTTAGTTCATGTCTATGTGACTATCCTGTTTTAATAGTTAGCAGATATTATGGCTAAAATTACATATTTAAAATACTATATCTGGGTTATTAAGTGACAACAATGTTGCTATACATTACAATAATGGAGTGTTAGGAAAGTACTTCAGCATGTTCCTTTTTTCTATTATTTTGGAGAAGCATGTTAAAAAATACAATCTGCTTATTCTTTGTTTCTGCCTAAAAAAATTTACATCTGTAAGTTAAATTTTTAGGTATATTTCCTAAGGTGTCAAATTTTTCTTATATGATTTTCACATAGAGTATAACATAATTCTTAAACTGTAGTGGCAAAAAAGTCATTTACAGATTCCTCAGCCTACTCACACAGATCAGCTTTTTCAATAAGAAAATGACTGTTAATGGTAACACTTTGAAAAATCTCTAAACACAAGAGACAAATATTTATGTGACTTTTTTCCAGTGTGCAGGACCCCAGTCTTACTTCATATTTCCTGGAAAATACAAGGGCTTGGACATGGCCTTGCAAATAGGCTGGAAAAAGTTTTAGTCAATTAAACAATTCATTTTATTATTAAGTATGCATTCTGTTCCCCAAACTTATTCACTTAAACTTATTATTTGGGTTTTGATCATTACAATCAAGAAAAATATTCACTTGGCTTAGCAATTTCTAGCAATGATCTCTGCAGCCTTCCGTTCATGCAGGTGGAAAACACCTCCAGCGTGTAAAACTTTTTCTACCTTTTAGTATGATGTTCTCATCTATGGCTATGATGGGCAGCTTTCACAGCCACCTGGGACGTACGTAGCCACTGTAACTTGGACACACTGCTATACTATCACACAGAGAAAACATGATGGGCACATAGTACAGTATCTGATAAATTCTAAACTTACATTTAGTAAAGCAGGTATCCAATTTCTAAGTTCGCAGAAATTTGGAACTCTTACCACTAGATGGCCTTATTGCTTAATATTTAATTTAAAGCCATTTTTTCAAGGATGGTTTGAATTCTTTGCTTTACAAACAAGTTGTACATTATTAACTTTAAATCAAACATGACCTTTAATAGTACACAGAAACCAGTGCATAGAGGGAAAGAAATAAAAACTGCTTCATTTTGCTAAACATCAGAATGAGCTGAGCAGTAACAGCAGTGAAACATATGTGGCATACCTGTGTCTTGTGCCTTTAACTTAATCAGTAAAGAAAGCATATCAGAGTGCTTAAATGTGTATGTCTTCTACAAATGATTCTAACCCCAGTCCCTTAACTGGGGTTATTTATTGGTTTATTAATTCTATATTATTAGAAAAAAAATGTGACTCTAATTTGGAAGTAAAAATGTAGCCAGATAGGATTCCTTACATTTTGTACCCCTTGGTATGCCGATTCAAGAGATTTTTCTGATTTGGTGATTTTTTTTGAATATTTTATTTATTATTTTTATTTTATGTGTATGTGTGTACTGCCTGCATGTAGGTAAGTGCACCTGTGTCGTGCAATACCAGCGGAAGACAGAAGAGGCTGTCAGATCCCCTGGAACTGGAGTTTTGGACAGCTGTTAGCTGCCACATGGGTGCTGGGATTCAAAACCAGATCTTCTGCAAGAACAGTCAGTGTTCTTAACCACTGAGCCATTTCTCCAGCCCCCTGATTTGGTGATATTTAATTATAATCAGATACAAAATTTGATTTCTTTAAACATCTAAACACCAATAGTTGCCAATAAATTAAGAATATTTTGAAAAGGTAATAAAACACACCCAGAACCACGCTTTAATGGGTGCTGAAGCAGAACAGAAAGTATTCCAGGAATTTTCTACAAGTTCCTTTTAAAGCAGCAGACACCTACTCATGTATCTGTTAAAGAAAGAGCAATTATTTCTTTTCCATACAGGCAGTAAAAGCAGTGTATATTTGTTTTGTCAAGAGCAGAAGTATTTCTGTGTGTCAAGACTTCATATTTCACTTCCATTATTTATTTTTATTTTACTTTTATTTTGAGGCCCAAGCTGGCCTCAAACATGACAATCCTCCTGCCTCAGCCTCTCAAGAGATGCAATTACAGGCATGAGCCACCACACCCAGCATTTAAAAGATATTGAAACATTTAAGAGAATAATGGCTAGTTCAGTGTGAACTGTCTGCATTCATTTCTGTGTTTAGGTATACAACATCCACTTGTGATACCTTTCATGTGAAAACAAAGACTAGTTTGTACTTCAAAAAGCAATACATTCTGACGTATGATCTAATAATTGGAAAGAACTTGAGGGTGCTTCAAAAACCAAGACCTCTTTGCTAGTTTTGTCAGCTTTCATTCTAGACTGTCACTAGGGGACTTCACCCACATGTAAGTAGTCATGACTTCATCTACTAACCACACAGAAAGCGGCTTGCCCTGTCACCACTGACAATGCAGGTATTTAACACGGTTGTTAGCCCCAGGCTCATTATTCTCTCTTTTCCCCACTCTGACCTGGTGTCCATCAAAATTCTAGACCTGTTCAATATAAAGTCGAGTTCTCTCTCATCCAGCCAAAGTTCCTCAGGCTGGAAGTCTGCAGTGGAGAAGAGGCTATACACTTGTCTAATTGTTATACTTCTCCTCTCCTAGAATCTTGCACAGGAGCTTGCCATCCATTGCCAATTCTCGCATGGCAGACAGAAGGACTGGGGCCTGAGATTGTTATGATAACTCATTTACCTCAGACGGGTGGTGTGTCTTTGACGTGCTCCTACTGCTCCCTTGATCCAGGTAAGCCCCATCTCTACCTGGGGGACACTTATGATCCTTCTCATGGACTTGGGAATTGGGGTAAGAAGACAGTACCTTTCTCTCCACATTACTTCATGTTTCATTGAACAGGTTCTTAACCTTTACCTCTGAATATGTACATACAATATTTCATTGTAGGATATCTATAATGGACTGGATAGTCTAAATAATTTAAACAATCTGTTATTGAGATATGGCACTTACTAATTGTAGGCTACCAGGCTAGGTACTACAGAAGACTAAAAAATTTATGATGTAGTCCTTTAGTACCAAGGTCAAATATACAAACATAAAATACAAAAACATTATCTAAAAGAACCATGCAGAAGTACTCTACAATTAAAAGCAAGTTCTGGTGAAAACCAGACTATACTTTTATACCTTAAATTTAAAACAACTAAACAATCTCCAAATAATAACATACTACTATGCACAGTACAAACCAAGGATATGACAGTGATTTTTTTTCATGACCAAATTATCAATGTCATTATTAAAAGTTCAAACTATATAGCCCTAAGTCCACACTTTCCAAATCAAAAATGGGAATGGTGAGGACAGGGAATGGTGGTACATCAAAATTTAAAAAAATATTTTATTATTTTTATTTTATGTGTATGAGTGTATTGCCTGCATGTATGTCAGTGCACCCATGTTGTGCAATGCTGTGGAGGTCAGAAGAGGGCTTTGGATTCCCCTGGAACTGGAGTTAAGGACGGTTTGTAGCTGCCATGTGGGTGCTGGGAATCGAACCCAGGTCCTCTGTAAGAGCAGTCAGTGCTCTTAACCACTGAGTCATCTCTCCAGCCCCATGGTACACCAAATTTAAGAGCACAGAGTTGAATTTCACGGGTGCTTATAGTCCACTTACTAAATAGCTGAATAGCTCAAAATTACATTTTACTAGTATTAGATACAGGAGATTCACTTAAGAAGTAGAGTTCAGTGTGAAGGAAGCAGGGGAGGGGGAACTAAAAAATAATACCAAGGCCTGCACTACTATCCTCAGGCCTCTTGGGGAGCACCACTTCTGGAGCTCTCCGCACCGGGACTCCCTAAGCCTCATTCACCCTTCCAT